TTTGAAGGAGAGTAGAATGATTTAAACATTTTCAAATGCTATTTCTCTTTAGAAATTGGTTGATGGGCTTTTCAGTGATTGGAGGCATGCCAATTCTCAAGTAACTTCAAATGTGGATCTATAATTAAAATCAGAAATTTGAACCACAGAAACATATGTTCTCGACATGTTCCACTATTTTTCTCATTTCTTTGAATCTTTTACTCCTCTATTGCATCTATCTATCATCTATGTATCTATCTATCTATCATCTACCTGTCTATCTTCATGGACTGTATGCCAGACGTCTGCAGAAACGCCCACCCCTGCAGAGAGCCTGACGGCCTGGGTGGCAGCCGCGTGGCAGGCTCAGGAAGGCAGGCTGGCCTCCCTTGTCAGCTGGGATCATTCTCTTCTCTTCACAAGCTCAGGATCGTGTGTCCTGTCTGGGGGCCCGTCCTCAGTGGCGTGCGCCGGCGTCTTGCCATGGACTTCCGACACCGCCGAGTGGGCTTCCCTGACCTGGTGGTGTGGAGCCCCCAAAGTCATCGCATCAAGCTGCTGGAAGTGAAAGACCCCGGCGACAGCCTTTCGCAGAATAAGGTGACCCGGCTGGACCAGCTGCGCCGGCAGGTCTGCCACTTGGCTGCGGTCAGAGCCGAGAGCAGGGGCTCTGACTGAAAGCTGTGGGCTTGGAAGTACACTGTTAAGATTTTCAGAAGCGTTGTGTCACTTATTTAATTTTGATTTTGTTATTGTCATAATAAACTTGCTAGTTTAAGGAAAAAAATCTATATATAATACACATATATTCTGCTTACTGTACATATTTGACACTGAGACTTAGTGAATATATAAGACTTGTAATGCTAAACTGCTATAGGCTGCTGCTTTGGGGTGAATATAGAAATCCAAGGACGGTAGAGATGATTCTTCTCTTTCCCTGCTGCAAGGGAGGCTGAGATGTAATGACTCACCTTTTCCATTGTTGGAAATTAAATCTGCCTCTGAAAGCAATTTTGGTTTTATAAAGCCAAAGTTTACAGAACTTCTGAAATCATTCCCAGGAGCCACTTGAAAACGAATCGTCACAGAGCTGATACCTGAATCAGGAGTGATCCTTCCTGGGCTCAGGCAAGTCAGGCCAGTGGCTCCTGATTTTGCTTTACAAGACACAGAGGACAGGAGGGATGGCTGAGGGGCCCTTGTCATTGTGCAGGCCAGGCCAAAGCGGCCTTGGCCTCGACCTGACGTCCTCTGCACACAGGGCCTCAGGGTCGCGGGCGATGGCCTGAATGCTTCCACACCTGGATTAAATGCCAGAAACTAAGTTATTAAACTAGAAACCTGGAGAGTCCTATAGAGGTGCCAACCCCAAACCACCAGGGTTGAAATCTAAGGAACATTTCTCCCATCTAACCTGAAGAGTTGGGAGGAAAATTGGGGGGAAGGGGGGCTTTATAGTCTATGAGCTGAGTCAGGCTGCTGATTCCATTTTATTAAACTTGGGTATGAAATCTGTGCTTTGTGAAATGACTGCTTTCTACACCTCTGCATTTTCTTTACTTCCCCTTTTGCGGCCTCACTCTCCGAAGAGTTATTTCTGTTGAAGTAACTAATCAAAACAGGATATTCAGGGAAAAATAATGGTCTATTTGGTATATTTTCTCATCAAAACTGGAGGGGCTAACGAAGAGTTTTGGGGAGGAAAGAGGAGACCATTAATTAGACAATGGAGGAATGTTAATTAAAAGCACCAAGGCGTTCACTGCTGTAAACATAACCCAGAGCAGAATATTCTGTAAAACGTGATGTTCAAAGCCAAGTCAGCACTTCGGGCAAAAACGACTCTTCTTTCTTGTCTTTAAGAGATAGAATCCTGAAAGCCACATACCTTCCAACATCTTGAAAAGTGTAATCATTTCTCAGAAGTACTCAGGCTGAAGTGTGATTTTAAAGTTCTGTTTAGGCATAAGACTCAAGCCATTACACCTGTGTGTTTACTGAACTTTTTATAGATGTGTATGTACTGGGCAAACGCTGATATTGTCTTCCTTGAGTACATGGTGTCCTGTGCCCCAAAAAGGTTTGCTGCCTCTGTGTGCTGGTCTTAAGCGTCAGGGCTGCTGGGGCAGCAGCCCTCCTACCCCAGCGAACTGTGCGCAAACCCACTAGAATGAAACAAGAAGCAAAGTTCGTGGGAACAGAGTAAGGATACTAAGGTGCCCGTTTATGCATAAACCCTGTCTGCCTCGATGCTGACCTCACACACAGCTTAAAACACCAAACACCAGTTAATCCCATGACGGTCGAGATGCAAAGTCACTGTATAACTGCTGTTGTGTTCAAAGGTATTAACATGTAGTTACTATAAACAGCATGTTCTGTTTTGTGGAACCTATGCAATTAACTTGTCCTAGGCTAATAAATTAAATATAGCATAAGCTCATATTACAGCTGCTTGGAAGGAGGGCCTGGCTGGCAACACACTTATTGAGATCACTTTGAAATCACTAGTCTCTATACTCAATACAGAAGTAGGTGTCTCCTGCTTTGGGCAAGTTATGCACATGATCCCATTTACTAAATAGATATTTTAGGAAGTTTAAACATATTTGGTTATGGAAGGAAGTTGAGGCAGAAGGAGGAAAAAGAGTGAAATGATGCTAAATCATTAGACACTAATTTGGAGTTGAAATAGAATGGCAGTAAAACATACAAATCTATATGAATCTATAGTGAATAGTCCACACTTGCATTGACACTTGCAGAAATTCAGATTAGAGGCCATTCATTAGAAACATAACTGTCACAATTAGGAAGGCATCCCTGTGCCATGCCCAGGAAGTTCTTGATATTTTAGGATGTGTTAAAAAGAGAAGGCCTAGTGCCTCTCAGCTTAGGTGAAAACTGCTAGCAGTGCCAACCCTGAAGTGGATCCAGCAGGCCCATGGTCTTGGAGGACTCTTAGTTCCCAGCCAGGGGCACTTCTTTAGCAGTTCCTGTCAGAGAAGGGGACAGTCCCCTCTGTCATGTGACAGTTACTAACTCTGGTTGGGGCGTGGTTAAATGTTAGGCTCAAGGACTGGAAGGAAGGATTTTCTTTCCCTATATCTTCAGCTTGACTGATAAGTTGTCTACCTTATCTCAACATCTGCCAGCAACCTAAGAAATGGTCCATTTGCTTACAGAGGTAGGAATCATACGTTCTTATTTAGAACTGCCCATCTTTCTTAACTTTCCTGTAATCGCTCACCCACTCTCAACCTTACATAGGTTACCAGTGAAAGCAGATGGGAAGGAGGTATGATTGCTGTCTACCTGGAAGCGAGACGGAGGCAGACACTCTTCAGCCATTAGTGAACTGGTGTCCCCAGGCAGCTGTGTAAAGACTTGAAACCAAATATTTTACATTTGGTGGAATCTTTTGCACATGTGCTGGAGTATTTGCTCTTCCTATGTAACGGTACATTCAATAAGGCGTCAGTTCATGGTTTTTTGCTGAAGTAAAACCCAGTGGCTAGTCTAATAACAAAAGGAACTGTAGGACAGATAGCATTTTCTTGATTATTTTTATATTTTAAAAGTAAAATATAGACTTAATTTAGTTTTTGAATTAAAGAGAAGTCATTCCTAGCTATTTAGACATAGCAGAACCTTAAATTGTATAAATGTCAAATAAAGCTCTTATATCTTCAACAGAATGTAATTAGTGAATACATTATATGAAAAATTTTGTAGAGCAAGAGTATTCATTTAGGTTAAACTAGTCTATGAATTGATTTTATAACCTATTTCTATTCCCGAGTTTGTTATATTTTAAAAATGATCCAAAGATGTACATTTTTGTTTAGTAGTATATCAGTGTTACTTTAATGATTCTTAGCAAAAAGATAAATATAATTTTACCCACTCTTGTATATGCTACATTTATTTGCTATCTTCTTTCAATTCAAAATTGAAAGAGAAAATTCATCTTCAAGTGATTTCGTCCAAAGTTTCTTGTCATCAACATAAAGATAAAAATTATTTTACCTATTCAAACTTTTGTCAAGATTTAACACTCTTTGAATTTCTTCTACCAATTTATTTTCTTTCTTTATTGCAGAAGAGTCTTTCTGAATACTCAAAAGGGAAATTCATACCCCAGGTTACATATATTCTCATATTTCATTAGACATTATTGAGAAAGGAAAGATGTAGGGAGCTTACTGGTCAGAGAAGATAAAAGACATGAATTTCCCTTTATGATGAAAGCTAAAAGGATGACTTGGGTACAGAGGAGCTGGCAGTGGCTTCCTGCTCTTCAAGCACAGCACAGGGCTCTGAGGAACCTGGGAACGGGATTGGACAGACCTGCCCGTACTTCCTGTAGCATGTTGGGCAATCACCTAGCAGCCCTGACTCTCCCTTTTCTCACTTCAAAAGTAAGACAGTACTTAACTCATTAAGTAATTATGAGAACTAAACTAAATGATTTAATATAACTAGAACATTTAGTGGAGATCATCGTCACTTTTGATAAAAGGTACATATTATCAATTTTAAGCTTCTAGGCCCTTCCCTAAGGAGACGTCATTCTCTGCTTAGTTTATGTGTGATTATCCTGTTAGAAAAGCAGCTGGATGTTATTTATAGGAAAAAGCCTTTCTGATGCACAATTTGGTTAGTTGGTCACAAAAATTTAAGAATTATGAGAATATTTAGAGTTTATAAGATTCAGTGCCTTCAAAGAAAGTAGACTTTTTTTTTTCACCTTCAGATCTGGTTTATTAGTAGAGTTGGTTACATTCAAAGGCTGTGGCTTGTTAGATATTTTTCTCTAGAGGCTAAGCCCCCACCTACTGAGGAGACAAGCCATCACCAAGGACCCAAGGTGAGACAAGTCTCTGGAAGTCTCTGCTCCTGCAGTTCAATCCCCTGGGTAATCACCCCCCAGGTAGCAATGGGAATGGGGCACTGAGGGTTGGGATGTAGGCACTGGGCACCAGCAACCCAGGCACCTGTGCCCCACAGACCAGTTAGTGGGCATCATTGAGCTGCTGTGCAACATCCAAGATGTTCTTGGCTCCTTTGTTCAGCAGCAAGGTGGCCAGGCTGATGCCCAGGCTCTCAGCAGCCAGCTGGGCTTGTTGTGGAATGTTCCGGGCAGGGATGCCCACCAGCTGTGGATCATCCTCAAGGCCATCTTCATGCTGGGCAGGGACATGGATGGTGGCCTGCATGGTCTCTTGCATGTTACTTACCTGTGCCATTCAGACTCCAGACTCCTCCAGTCAGGTAGAGTTGCCCATCCTTCACAGTTGTATGCTCTGCTCTTCCAGGTGCCTCAGGAAGGCCTGTTCAGCAGTGCAGTGAAGCAGAGTCTCAGGATCATGCAACACACCCACCAGATCCAAGATGTCCTGGTCCTTGGCTTGAACTTCCACTCCTAGAGCCCCCAACCTGCACTCCTCAGGGTGCAGGATCTGTCCCACCTGGTTCTGCCAGCCCATGCCCTGCAGGCCAGCTGCAGCCAGGATGATGGCACTGAACTCCTGCAGCTCATCCAACTTCCAAAGCCTTGTGTTGAGGTTTCCCTGAATACTCTTGAACCCCAGATGTGGGAACTTTCTCTGCAGCTGGGGCCGCTCTCCGCAGGGAGCTAGTTCCCACCACGCTCTTCCCTGGCAAGGTTTCTAGGGTCTGCCCAACAAAATTTGGGTGAAAGACAACAGCATCAGAGGGGCTCTCCTGCTTGCAAATGGCTCCAATGGTGAGCCAGGAGGAAGCACCGTGGGCAGGTCCTTCAGGGAGTGAACGACCAGGTCCACTTCATTCCTCTCCAGTGCGTGTTCCAGCTCCTTGGTAACTCTCCAATCTTAGAGAGAGCCGTATCAAGAATCTTGTCCCCTGTGGTGGACACAGCAATGATTTCAAACTGCAGGCCTGGGTATAAGGCTTTCAGCATTGCCACCACACTGTCCATCTGTATGCGGGCCAGCTGGCTCTTGCGGGTACCCACGTGAATCAGTCTCATATTTGGACTGTTTTCTTCCTGCAGATAAAGTCCTGAGGTCACAGTCCCCACTGCTCTTAGTGTTCCTCAACACCTTATCCAAGAACCAGAATCACTGGCTTGGAAGAAAGGAACCTCAGCCCCCGGCCTGTGGCCAGCTAAGCCTCAGAGTGGGAAAGCAAGTACATTTTAAAAAGTGTCCCTCTGGGACTTCCCTGGTGGTCCATTGGTTAAGACTCTGCGCTTCCACTAAAGGTGGCACAGGTTCAATCCCTGATCTGGGAACTAAGATCCTACGTGCCTCGTTTCACAGCCAAAAATAAATAAATAAATAAATAAATAAATAAATAAATAAAATAAAATAAAAAGTGTCCCTCAAGGCTTTCCATCTTCTCCAACACAAGGAATTGCTGCACATATTCTGATGACTGTCTCAGGCAGAAAGAGTCAACTAGCAGAAGATGTCATAGAAACACATCATACCCTTGTACGGCACATGTATGTAATGTTGTCATTGTAAAAATTTAGTTTTTACTGATGTGATACTTGCTTCTATTTATCCCTCCTTTCAGTGGCATCATGTCTTATTCACTTTTGTACACTAACTCTATGTCTGGTGTTTAGTAGGTTATCAATATCAATATGATATTCTTGCTGAAAAAAATAAATGCACAAATAAGTAAGTAAAAGGGTACAGAGATGACCACTATCCTTTACGGACACGCTTGGACATGTTTCCTGTAACAGAAACTAAACTATTTTCCTCCATGACTTAGTGACTAAAACCACCCGCTTTCCCCTCCACTGCTGCCAGGAAGAACTGTTTGTTACTTACTCATACCCTAACCCCTTTTCTCACTGCACGATAACCCACCAACCTGCTGAGGAGGGCTAGCAATTATAAAACAGCAATCACTCTTTTAGTACAGTGATGGTTTTCAACTGTATTTTGAGGGATATGAGCTTTTGAGGTTGCTCAGAGGCCAAGTTGATCCAGAATACAATGCAGGGAGATAAAGGGAAAGGGGCTGAGGAGAAGTCCCAGCTCATGACAGCTTCACCTCATCTCCTCTGCTTTCATCTTTTTTTATACATTGAGGCTACATGCAAGATTCTGCCTGAGGTACAGGATGCATTACTTAAAAAGTTTGAAGCCTGAGTTCATGATTATACAAAGTATTAAATAGAAAGATTTACCTTCTGGAGTCAATGCAAGAAGACAAGCTTGAGTTGTCCTAACACCCAGGCTAACTTCTGAGTCATCAAAGCAAAACATACTAAAAGGTAATGCTGAGAGATAATCCTGGCATATCTGGATGTCTTCTGAGCAAAAAGCATTGATAGTTTTGTTCAAGGAGATTTGCAGATCTTCTCCAGGCAGGGAGAAGGTTTGTTTATTCTCCAGGATAATGAAGCTAGTTTCCTTCTATCCTTGGAGATAGTACAGGATGATAAAAATGATACCTCTCTCTGAGTCAGAAGATAGATTTGTTTCCTGATCAGAATAATAAAGATATTGTCTCTCTCTCTGTAGGGGTGGATGGACAGGTTTACTAACAGCTCCTTTAATAGATTGGGTTTTTTTTCTAAGTGTGAGCTTCCTTGCTATGACACAACTGTCATAACTGTGCATGCAGTGTCTACCTGGCCTGGACACTGGGCATGAAACTTGGGGGGAAAGAGGAATGAATGTGAAGATGAAGCTCATGCCGTCTGCTCTGCCAAGTGTCACAAACTGTACAAATTCAGGTGGGCTCATCGTCTCCTTACTGGCTGCATCCACAGGAGTCCAGCAAGCTGACCCAGCAGGACATACTTGGCTGCTCGACAGGTGGGACCTTCACTGACCAGGAGTATCTTACCTGCAAGGTCCATTCCCACTCTTACCTATGCTGGGAGAGCCCTTAGTCATGTGATAGACTTTAGTAAGGATTCATTCACGACTTTGAGTTAACTATGTACAACTATGTTCAAAACAAAATTATTATTGTTGTTAATATTTCTCTTCCTGCTATCTTAAGGAGCAGTTTTTTAAAAAACATCTATCCACCAAAGTAAATATTTTGTATATGAGACCCTCATCAGCTTTTAAAAACAATGTTCAACTTTTATTGAATATAAGAATCACCTAGAGAGCCTGTTACCAAAGCAGATGACTGGGTCCCATCCCCAGGGAATCACATTTAGTGGGTCTGGGGGAGCAATGCTGCCTGCTAATAAGACCCCAGGTGATTCTGATTTCGCTGGGAAGGGTCACAGTTTAAGAAACAAGATTTTTAAAGACAAGAATGTCTTTTTTCGGTAAAAAAGAAAAAGTGGATGAAACTCACAATTTCCTTCAAATCCTGAAGGTTTGATTGGGGATGCTGTTAGGGGAAAAGAGGGTGTCTACGTTCTGATACATTAACTCAGCAATTTACCCCTACTTCAGTTCTAAAATACTGAAACCACCTCAGGACTTCCTTTGTAAGGACATATATATATACATATACATATACATATATATATATATATACGTATGTATATATATATATACTTTAACAATAATAGCAATATATTGTTACTGAGTCCAAGCTCATACTGCCTGCCACACAACAGGCCAATAAATTGAGAGACGAGGTATTGGGACAGGGAATAGTGACTTTATTTGGAAAGCCAGCAGACCGAGAAGAGGGTGGACTAGTGTCCTAAAGAACCATTTCCCCGAGTTAGAATTCAGGCTTCTTTTATATTAAAAGGGGAGGAGGTGGGATGGTTGTCACAAACTTGGTGTTGGAATCCTTTGCTCTTACATCTGTCCACATAGGTCTGGTCACAATGTTCCTGTAAACCTCCAACAGGACAAATACTATTCTCTGTTCTGCAACTTTTAATCTCTGTATGAATGGAAAAGTGTTATACTTTTAAAGGTCAGAGCCTTGAGAATAGGCTATCCTGTATATGTCACACTATAGACAACATTCTTTTACAAAAGGTCCAGAGCCAGCATGACTAAGCACAGGCAACAGAGCACAAAGGTTAGAGCTAAAGGAATAGATCCAGTATGGAGTCATGTTTGGTCTTTATTACAGTATTACTGACACAACTGGTCCAGAAGTTATTCACCTTGGGGCCAAGTCATTCTTCAATACAATGTCTTGGAAAGTAAATCGTCTTTTAGTATGTGCCTTGGTATAGAATGCAGGTTTGCAGTGCCAATGTGAAGCTAGACCAAGCCTGTCCACTTGCCAAAAGATTGAAAGCACTCCTGTAAACCTCTCTATTTACATGCCCTCAATTACTTTCACATCTGGGCAACCTTCTGGAATTTTCTGTGTGAGCTGATGCTTATTATTTTAGGGTGATCTTATGGTACATAAATTAATTTTAACATCCTTTTGGCTAACCTTGAAACCTAGTCTGTGGTGTGTTACGGGCTGAATTGTGTGCCAATCCCCCTGCCAAATTCATATTTTGAATTTTGAAGCCCTACCTCTTGTACCTCAGAATGTGACTGCATTTGGAGATAAAGTCTTTAAAGAGGTAATTAAGTTAAAATGAGGTCATTAGGGTGGACCCTCATCCAGTATGACTGGTGTCCTTATAAGAAGAGGAAATTTGGACACAGATAGATCAGAAGAGCATGTGAGGACAGGGAGAAGACGAGCGTATACACCCCCGGGAGAGAGGCCTCAGGGGAAACCAACCCTGCTGACACCCTGATCTCAGTGTCTAGGGGCTAGGAATGGGAGTAGTTTAAAGGACGGCCAGAAGGGCGTCTCTGAGGAGGTAACCTTTATGAAGAGTCTGCATGAAATGAGGGATGCAGACATGTGCCACCCAGGTCCCCCGTCAAGGAAGGACTTTCTGCCCCAGGTGCTGGAGAGCTGTCAAAAGACAACCTTCAGCCTCGGAATGTTCAGGGGCACCTCTGGTGCCAGGAGCCTCTCTCAAGGTCGTGTCCTTCCTGAAGGTGGCCCATGTCCAATGACTCATCAAGGTGGGGATAAAAAAGCCCAAACAGGACCTACCTGGTGGGAGATTTATGTTTTGGAGTCTCCCTCCTAGGGCTAGCTGAGGCTGCTAACCCTACCTCCCTTCCCTTCTTTTCACAGCTGATTCTAAGAATACCCCCAATAAATATTCATATCTAATGGTCAGAAGCCTGTTTCAGAGTGGGCTTCCTAGGGAACCCAACCTGTGACAGGGAGGGAGCCCTGTGCACATCAAGGATGAGCATTTCCTTGCAGAAGAAACAGTAAGTACAAAGGCCATCAAACCTCTACCCATATGGTAATGACATGACTATACAAAGGAGGGACAGAGCAAAGTTGCTTGGCTTTGTATGGCCATCCCAAGGGGACCAGATAAGGATGGTACAGAGCTGGCTAAGGAAGGTATTAGATAGGGGCTTCCTAATGGGGGTAATCAGAAACTCCCTAGAGAGGAAGAAGTTAAAAAAGGAGACACACATGGAGGTGGTTTTGATTTTGAATAAAAGTGTAAATCCAACAGGCTTCTTTGATACTTCTAAGACTCTGAGGCCTATGCATTCTCCCACTGATGTATTGTTAGAGTGCTCCCCAATCTCAAACTGGATGTGCTTGACCAGTTTTCAAGTCTAGATCCCATATCTCCTCTCCAACTCTCTACAAGCTGCCACCTCCTCCTCCTCCTCCTCCTTTCTTTGACTGCAGTCTTCTCACATATTTTCATTTTCACATTCAAGGCTCCCAGAAGGGAAGGAAATAGCTTTGTCCAGCCTAGGACACTAATTGATCTATTAGGACTTCAAAAATGCTGTTAGTTATAAAGAAATTATGGAAGTTAATCACGGAAAACAAGCAATATCCCCTCAACCTCATCTCCCTAAATAACAAAATAAAGCACAATGCCTTGAAACAAGCTCAAAGAGAAGATGGTTATAGAACCCAATTTTCTTCACAAAGGGAAATAATTTCTAAATTAAGTCTTCACTTTATTTACATAGGAAATAGGGGAGAAGGTGTGCATGAAAATTAGACACGGCTTGAGTTTTATGACTAAACACAATC